TAATAAATAAGGTAATATTTAGGTAAATTTAACCCTTTACACTTGACTCCCCAGGAAGGGTCGTAACACCACTTGCCTCATGCACATAAGTGACCAAAACAAAGCAGCATGGAGACACTCCGTCTCCAACCACCTCTCAGGCAGCAGCCTGCATGATCTACACGTCACCAGAATATAACCAACCGCAACACAATAAAAGCAGTGTTATACAAAATGGAAGGCCTGTAGTGTTTATTCTCTTACAGTAACAACTTATCAATTTTTTGGAGGAATTTATTTGAGATTTTTTGGTTTTTATTAATTGTGCAATAAATAATCGCTAAATTAATCATCTAAATAGTCATTAGAATAGTTGACTATTCGATAAAATAATCGTCAGAATAATCACTTTAAAAATAATCATTTGCCCCCAACCCTACTTTTTTAGAATACCAGGATAGGAAGGATGGTGTAGGTTTACGTTTATTAGATTGATACATAAATATTACCAATAAGAAAGTGTACGTTGGTGTGTGTCAGAAACAGCGTAAGGCTTAATGTCTTTTCCAAAAACCCAGGTGATGGGCCGGTCTCCAATCAAAATGCCCGGGCTGAATTTTTGTCCCAGTCCAGCCCTGGTTACTAAAAAAGTAACTTTACATAACTTTAAAGTAACTTTAAAAAGAAGCAAACTGAAAAAAACATAGGGAGTACTGAAGAAACGTGAACAGTAAAGCAAGCACAGAGAGATCCGTTACTGTCTGTGTGTGTGCGTGGATGGACCGTACACGGACTGAGCTGTGAGCTCCCGGCTGCTGAGTTTTGTGTGTAGGGAGGGGCGGGCGCTCTATTTGACTGGCTACTCACAGAGCATGAAGACAGTCAGTTACCCAATGAGGATTTTCCTTCAGCACGATTACAGATATTTACGACTTTCACTCGTTTCATGCTCGTACTCGTCAAAAATACTTTATCCGTACCAAGTATCCGGCTCATCCCTAGTTCCAAGCATTTTCTGGCATATGTGTATGCTGCAACACATCCTGAATAACACCTCTATCTTCCATTTTCAGCCACGAGGGAACAAACGTGGGTCGACGGAGTAGATTTTCACGTTGAAAAAAAGAATTAAAAAAGCACAAACTTAAGATTTTATTTAACAAAAAGAATCAAATACTGTAAAGCTGTCAACTAAGTTGTTTTCTAGGACACTTTGGAAAAACTTCAGTTAACCGTGTTCATCAAAAAGTAGTTGGTCAGCAGAGCTCTGAAATGAAGATGTTACACCGACGCCATCTTGGCCCGAGTCCCCAACTGCTGATGTCTTTCCTAAACTTAAGTGTGAAAACCGAGTGGATTTGTCGTGATGTGACATCATCAGCAGGTGCAGGACCCCGAGCCCATCTGGTACCGACACCGGACCTGTTTTACTCTTTAATAATAATGTAACCTTTCACAATACGAACTAACAGAAGCAGGAGAAAGCATATTTAAAAAATGTTTAAATTTTGCAGTAACACCAAAGAAAATACCATATGATGAATTTATTGTAGCAACAGAACTAGCATGTCAACAGATCACAGATGAGGGAAAGAAAGCAGAACTCAGAAATAATGAAGTTGGGATATTAAAGAACAACAAAAGTCAACACAGCAATATTACAAAAGAACAATCAGCCATGACAGGATTATCAAAAATAAACAGATAATTATTCTACCGGCAGACAAAGGAAGAACCACTGTGGTAATGGACAAAGAAAAATACAAACAACAGATGAAACAGTTGTTAGAGGACAAAAATACATACAAAATACTAAAAAAAAAAAAAAAAAACAGAAAGCATTAAGAAAAACATGAAAAAATTACTGAAGTCACTACAAGAAAATAGCAAAATAACAGAAAAAATGTACAAACACTGGATTCCTACAGCAAACATGATACCAAGAATATACGGAACGCCAAAAATACACAAACAAAACACCCCACTTAGACCAATACTAGACAGCATAGGTACACCAACATACAACATGGCAAGAGAAATCAGCTAAATCATCAGCCCGTTATTAGGTAACACAGATCAACACTGCAAAAATAGCATAGAACTGGCAAAAGAACTAAAGGAGATTACAACAGAAGACAACAACATACTCATCTCACATGACATCATATCCCTGTTCACAAAAACACCAACCCACAAGACAAGAACCAAAACCAGTGATAACCCTACCATACATCAAAGGCATAACAGAAAAAATAAGAGCAGCAATAAAAATACACAACATAAACACTCCAACAAAACCATACACAACAGTTAGAAACAGACTAGTACACCCAAAAGACAAGATACCAGCTGGACTTAAATGTGGAGTTGTTTACGAAATCCCATGCAAACTCTGCAATGAAACATACATAGGAGAAACCGGACGCCATCTCAACACACGAACAATAGAACATAGAAAGGAGTGCGAGAAAGAAACAAGTCGAAGACACACAAGAGAAGCAAAACAAGACGCAGAAAGCACAATAAAGAAGTCAGTCATCAGTGTGAGAGAGCTGATCCAGCTGTTTAACTACCACTGTTTAGAGATAAATATCACTGTGTCTCAGCTTTAGTGCTGCACAAATGTTACAATAGTAAGAACTTAGCTTAGTTTGTCCTGAAACATCCTGGGGATGCTAACTAATGTCATGATGACATCATCATGAATGAAAAGTTTCCATACCTCTGTCTGTGTCCTGTCTTCTTTTCTTGTGTCCTCCCCTGGGCTGCTGATCATTTAGGGCGTTTTGACATGTTGAACTAACTGAATCATCAGAAATGACCGTTCTCCTCCACGGTAGCAGGTAAAGACGGAGGAGAGGGGCACCGGGCACGCCACCTTGGAAAAGTTCTGCCAACTTCAGAATGTCAGGTTCTGAAGTTGGTACTTCAGTAACGTTGGCAACACGCTGCCAGATTAACGGCTCAATAACCTCTGATCATTTTGAAACATAACGTACGTCTTTGGTATCACGACAAGGTAGTGAACAAGCTAAAGCGTTTTCTTTTCAGAGCAACCCGTCCTCTGCTTCCGACGCGCTCCGTGAGCCCACGGAACTGCCGTGAGTGTTCAGGGACTGTCTGCAAATACAAACACCAGAAATAGCTCTTGATAAGTATAAAAACCTCTTGTACGCTGTTGTGTCACCAAAATAAACCTGCACACATGCTACCTAATAGACCGTGCTAAGAAGGAGCAGTAGTGCAGGCTTGTTCTTTCAATACATCTTGTTTTACACGTTAAACCGTCTCTTCTGTCTGTGGTGCCCCCTGGATGGCTGGCGCCCTTAGCAATCGTCTATAATGCCTATGGGGGGGCTGGCCTTGTGCAGAGGGATTCCAAGCAACGGTGGTTAGGAGCGACAGTGTCTCAGACAACACAGGGACACGAGATCTAAAACTATCCAGCAGCATTTCCTTCTTTTGCAGTTCAGCAGAGTCATCGTTTATCTGCTTTAAGGTTTTCTATTCTTTTATTTGCTTTAGAAAGCATAAAGGCGTCATTGTGGGGCAGAAGGAGAGGGAGGACAGACATTCATGATAGCTTCAAGGTTTATAACACATTAGCTGAGCTGCCTCTGTCGGATCTGAAAGATTTGTATTCCAAATAAAGGTGCAAGAAGTCAAAGAATACAGAAACAAGCAAAGGTCCAACCGAATCCAGAGCTCAGGACAGAAAACAGCAGCTTTAGGAGGAATTAGAGCACAAAACATAGGAGCGGAAGTCTGCAGGTTTCTTACCATCCTCCATGCCCTGGGGCAGTGGTTCCCAACTGGAGGTCTGTGCCCCCTCCACCCACCCCCCACCCCCACCCCACGGTTCCCTCTGTGACTACATGGTGAGGTTACCAAGGATATATATACAGGTAAGGAGGGAGGGGAACTTTCTCCTTTCTGCTTCTTGCTCGGTAAGAATTGTTTTAATTTTAAGAGAAATATTGATTTCCGAAGACGAAGGTTTCTCCTTTGAATAGATGAGCATGAAAAGGTGAAGTGAAGATAAATAGGTCTGATTACAGATGCGTAAATAACCTCACTCATTCATTCATAATAGTGAATCTGTTACTGGGACAGACCATCTTTTATAACACAAAGTCTGTCATTGATCACTTCTGATGGAGAGGGTGTTGGGGTCTGGCTTGTCTGGTTACAGGAAATGGGATCCTTAGGGGCTAAATGTTGGGAGCCACTGCCAACGGGGAGGCCACTCTTCATGCCCCCTAACCTTCAACATGCCATATGGAACAATGTCAACAAGAAGAATTTCAGGAGACATCTTTCATCCTCAGTTTATCCACCTCCTCTTGTCTCTCGTTGCCTCCGGGGTTGGAGCTGTGTCTCTGTGAGGTTAGGGTCCCTCTTGGAGTACAGTATTTTCCAGACTATAAGTCACACTTTTTTTCATAGTCTGGCTGGTCCTGCGACTTATATACCAAAGTGACTTATATACCAATTTATGTTTACCACACTAGTGCGGCCCGGCTCCGGCCCAGGAATGAGCTCACCTGTCCTGCTGGGAGGGTTCCAAACACTACCATCACCTGCTGCAACCTAGGGCGGGGTGCTGCGGGCCGGCTCCGGCCCAGGAATGAGCTCCCCTGCCCCGCCATCACCTGCTGGAGACTGCTGCACGTTGCTGCGGGGCTGCTATGGCGCAGGAATGAGCGCCCGCTGGGAGGGTTTGAAACACCACCATCCTCTGCTGGAGACCTTGGTGCGCTGCTGCACATACTGCTGAAGCAACAGCTGGTTGTTTATTCTGTTATTGTTACTGGTACTTGTCTTGCAATGTGAAATGCTTTGTCTCAGATTTTGTAAGAAAAATAATAAAATTCCCCCCCAAATTGTGACTTATAGTCCAGTGTGACTTCCTTGATTTTTTCTTCTTCATTGTACATTTTATGGCTGGTGCGACTTATACTCCGGAGCGACTTATACTCCAGAAAATATGCTACTAGTATCTATGGGAAATATCTTCAGCCCTATAGCTTGTCCAGCTCTTTGCCAAATACTTGCTGTGGGTACAAATTGAAATGGTCCTTTTACACGAGACGACTCTTCTGCCTCTCTGTCTAACCCTAACCCTGAACCCACATTCACACTGGATATGATGCCTGCCCCGGTGCAGACCCCAGTTCTTGCTTCATACGATGCCCAGCCCGTAGGGTGCAGGCTGGTCCTGACTGCTGGTGGTCTGTGTGGAGTGAAGTGATGCAAATGGAAACTCTTCTAGATCTTTGGTCTCTGTGACCTGCAGGAACAAAAGGTTTGAGGTCAATAGAGAGCCCACGTCTCCTCCTCTTCCAGTCAGTAAAAGTTTTTTCTGCTCTGAATCACATACATGTTGTACTTCAATATAAAGGGTAAATGGCCTGTCTTTATACAGTGCCTTCAGGGGTTCTACAGCCCCCCAAGGCACTTTACAACTAACCAGCCATTCACCCATACACACACACACACACACACACACACATTTACACACGATCAGAGGTGGAAAGTAATGAATTACATTTACTCATGTTACTGTAATTGAGTAACTTTTTTGTGTATTCATACTTTTAAAGTCGTTTTTAAAATCTGTACTTTTACTTTTGCTTGAGTAAAAGAATTGTAATTCGCTACATTTTAAATCATCTGTTACTGAGTAAAAATAAATTGTAGGCTTAATACATTAAAAATATTACGTGTAGCAGCGTCGGAACAGACAGAGACACCTGCATGAGCGCTGCGTCTAAACCGTAGGGGGTACACTTTTGACAATGAGGACAATCAGCCATTTTTACTGCAGTTTTGCTCAAAAACATCAGTTCAGTCCCTGTGATCCACTCGCTGTTTACCTCCTCTCTCCCTCTTCTCCTGTGGGTTGGATTTTGCACCTTCGTGCACCGGTGTGACGTCATCAGAAGTCTGCTCGGTTCGGTAGCTGGACTCAGTTCCGTGTTTGAAATGTTTCCCTACCGCGCCGCACGGAAGCAGCAAAATAATGTTTAGCGCTCATATCAAGTGGATTCTCAGGCTTTAGTCATTGGCAAAGAATGAGTTAACATTCATGACACCCATCTTGACTCACTACGGATAAAGATGTTGGTTTAGCGTCCAGGAAACAGCAGAGTACATCTTGGCTAGTAGAAGCTAACTGTTAGCATTAGCAACTCTACCACACAGCAGAACTCCTCCAGGCATGTGGCATTGGTGGAGATAAAACATCAATGTTGCAGAGCAAACAGAGTCAGTGGTAGAGGCGTGTTGCTTTTAGCCAATCGGAGGAGAGATGTCCAAACATCAGGAAGTAAGACTCTAAACGCTGTTGGCTGAAGCTACTCCCTCCTTTACCTGAATTCTCTGTGCTGAAACACACGCACCCGAGTATTTTCCCCCAGGGAACGACTTACAAGACATTTATTCCTAATAGAGACCACTGCCGATGTATTACATAAACAGCTGTTCCACACTTTTAATTTGATGACATTCAACAAGTCAAAATCAACTTGAGTTCCACAAGATGTCATGTCATCAACTTTCCCATGTAATAACTACAGCAGTCTCACCTGTGATAGGGAGGTTGTGTCCATCTCCAAGGGTGGTGCTACTCTCTCTCCTGGGCTGGGACCGCTGTAGGGAGATGGCTACAAGTGGAAAACCAAATTCTGTTAAAATTTGTTGTTTATTTTATGATGCTTGTCCTAAACAACAAAACAGGTCATTCAGGCTCACGCTGACCAGGTGAGCTAGTAATTACCTGAGGGGGTGAAGAAACCATGCTGTATGTAGGAGGAAACGGGGTCTCCTGCCTCTGCAGAAGCTGAACGATTATCCCGATGTTTGCCAACGTACGACCCTCCAACCTGAACAATTGTTTACATAGTAAGTTGGTTGGTTCATTTTAACTTAATATTTGAAAGCAGTTTTTTTTTTGTTTTGTTTTTCAAATTTGGGTTTGAAATTATGCTTTTTTTATTGTAATGTAACCAAGATGGCGGCACCCTGTGAGAGTGTTGCTTTTCTGTCTCCTTTCTGTCTCTTCAAGGGGATTTTTTTTTCTCTCACAGAGGAGTTAGGAAACAAAATTAAACAATACAACACTGAAAGAGAAAAGATGCCACCCAAGAGAGTATTGCAGACGGAATACGATATGGAGGACATCCGTAAGTCAATAAACAGCATGTCTGAGGAGCTGGCTAAGGTAACGCAACAGCTCCTTAAGCTCACAGAACTTTTTGAGGAAGTAAAGCTACTAAAGACCATAATTGAACAGGACAAGACCATTGAAAAACTTGAAAAAAGGATTGATAACCTGGAGCAGTATACACGAATGGAGGACGTGATAATTACTGGGATGAGTGTTAAACCTCGCTCATACGCAAGAGCCGCAGCAGGAGGGAGAAATATTGACGAAGATGCCGATCCAGAGGACACACAGTCGTGGGAAGGGCAAGTGGTGCGTTTCTTGGCTGGGAAGAATATACATCTGGATGCTGGGAATATTGCTGCCTGCTATACTCTTCTGAGGAAAGAGGTCCAAACCTGCCATTGTTTTGAAGCTTGTAAACAGGAAACGTAAAATGGAACTGTTGACACAAGGGAAGAAGTTGAAGGGTTCTGAGGTGTACCTGAATGAGCATCTTACGCAGAAAACAGCCAAAATTGCACATGAAGCCCGCAACCTGAGGAAGAACAACAAGATAAAGACGACCTCGACTAGGAGTTGCAAGGTTTATATTCAACTGAAGGGGACCACACCCGAACAAGCTAAAGTAGTTATGGTAAGAGATCTTAAAGATCTTGAGCAATTCAAATGACGCTAATAATTACAGAAAAATCTCGAGATTAATGACTGGGACTTGGTTGGTAATTTACAAACATGAAATGAGGACGAACTACTTACCGATTCTGACTATTAGGAGGACACTTATTTACTCCATGGTAAACAACTTCAAAATGTTTATGACTCTTTGCACCACAAAATGAACGATTTTGGAAGCGATTTAGATTTTGATGGTAATTTTAATAAAGAGCCATGGAATGACTGTAAATACTATAGTGCTGAGGAGTTTAAAGAGATAAATATGGTGGGAGCCTTCTCTGTCATTCATTTCAATTGTAGAAGTTTGCACGAAAACTATGATAAGGTTAAAGAGTATCTGAGTCACGTACCAAATTTTTCTGTTATTGCTGTCTCAGAGACGTGGCTGGACAATGAAAATGGTTCACATGTGGAAATAGAGGGATATGATTTATTTACTTTAAATAGGAACAAGAAAAAGGGCGGTGGGGTTGCACTGTATGTGGATATAAACCTGAGGTGTAAGTCATCTGACAAAAAGACAAATATTATTGATGGGGTTATGGAGTGTATCAGTGTTGAAATTGTACTGAAGGAACATTGGTTACGTATTGTAATCCCAGATTCTATGAGTCTAGTCGCAGCCCTTAAGCTATTGGAAGGATGATCTCCGCATCAGCCAATCATGAAGAGCTTAAATGTACGCCCACCAATAGTGGGCCCCCTCGTGGTATATAACCGCAGTGACCCCACTGCTCACCTCCAATGGCTCTTATTCCCATCATAACCTGTGGGGCCAGTGGCTTAAGGGCTGCGACTAGACTCATAGAATCTGGGGTTACAATACGTAACCAACGTTCTATTTCGTCTAGTCTTAGCCCTTAAGCTAGCTGCTATTGGAATAAAGTGCAGCTGGATGGGTTTACGCTCCACTGGTTAACACAACCAATGGACACACCCAATCAAATCTCCTCTAGTGGGGGACGTTCAGCCTCAGACCAGGCTTAAAGACTGAGGCAGGCACGATAAGAGAGGGGCCCCCACTAAAAAACATAATCCACAAGAGGATGAAATCCATCTCAGCAAGGCCAATGAGGTGCCATAAGCATTCATTTAGCCTGCTGGGGTCCAAGCACTGAACGAGTGATGGATCCTGAAGACACATCTCGTAAATAATAACGAGTAAAGGAACAGGGTGAAGCCCATGAAGCAGCCTGACAAATGTCTTCCATTGACACAACACTGAGGAGCGCCATCGAAGAGGAAATCCCTCTGGCTGAGTGAGCCCTGAGTGCCTCAGGGGGATCCTGCCCTGATGATGTGTAAGCGAGGGAAATGGTGTCACACAGCCAGCGTGAAAGGCGCTGGGCCGACAGCGCCTGACCAAGGGAAGACTCCCTGTAGTGCGCAAACAGGTTTTGTGAGCGACGAATCCCTGAAGTGCGTGACACATATCGTGCAAGCGCGCGCACCGGGCAGAGAAGGTGAGAAGCCGCCTCCTCCTCAGAATTATGGGGAGGAGGAAAAAGTCCAGCCAATGAAATTGACCTGGATTTGAAGGAAGCATTAATGCTTTTGGGCACAAAGGCTGGGTTGGGGCATAAAACAGCAGACCCGCCATCCTCCCGGATCCTGAGGCATGCGGGAGCCACTGAGAGGGCGGTTAGGTCACTCACTCTCTTAACTGATGCTAGCGCCAGCAGCAATGCAGTTTTAAGCGACAGGAACTTGAGTGAGACCTGGTCCAAGGGTTCAAATGGAGCTTCAGATAAGCCACGCAGAACCACCGTTAGATCCCATTGGGGAAAAAGCGGGCGGGACACAGGTCTGTTCCTCCTGACACCTTTTAGAAAACGTTTTGTGAGGGGGTGATTGAAAACAGATCTATCACCAATACCCTGATGACATGATGAGATAGCTGTAGCATATGTCTTAACAGTGCTGAATGCGAGGCCCCTGTCCATCAGTATCTGCAGAAACGATAGGACATCCGCCAGGTGGCAGGAGAGCGCTTGAACATTCCGTTCTGCGCACCAGTTCTGGAAAGCTGCCCATTTAGCAGCGTAAGACGCAATGGTAGAGGGCGCCCGCGCACTCTGAATCGTGGCGACCACATCATGCGGCAGCCCAGAAGCCTCCAAGCGTGACCGCTCAGCGGCCAGACCCACAGCCGTTGGCCTATTTCCAGAGGATGTTTGATTATCCCATCCGCCTGGAGAAGGGCATCCGCCCTCCACGGGGAGCCGGACACTAGCGCTTGTAGGTCCGGAAACCATGACGCGGACACGCGTCTGGGAGCCACCAGAATCACCGAGAGCTGTTCCGACCGAATTCGGTCCAGGAGACGGGGAATCAGAGGGACTGGTGGAAACGCATAAAGGAGCGTTCGAGGCCAGGGCTGGTGTGAGAAGGCGTCCGCCCCGAGCGGGGGTCTGTCCCGGGGACTCAGGGAAAACCACAGGCGACACTGAGCGTTTTCGCGAGCCGCGAACAGTTCCACAGACGGTTCCCCGAACCTGATCCAGATCTGTGATATCAGTGCAGGATGTAGACGCCAGTCGGAGTCGCGGGGTCCCCCTCTCGACAGGATGTCTGCCGCTACATTCAGTCATAGGCGTCATTTTAACCGGGGACGCCGGGGACATGTCCCCGGCAAAATTTGTGATTGGCAGCTGTGTCCCCCCCACTTTCAAAAACGCCTGCTGATGAGGATTTTTGTTTTACCAGCTCAGATCTTATACCAGGGGTTGGCAACCTATTCCCATCAAAGAGCCATTATTACCCGTTTCCCACAGTAATTCTGGACGGACCTTAATAAGCAGTGACTTAAGTGAAGCAGGCAGGTCGCGCTAGAAAATTTAGTTTAAAAAGGCGTCATAAATGTGTTCCCCCGTCATTTTTATTTATAAAATATGAAGTAAAAACTCACAATTTAATTTTCATTCATTTGTCATTAATATTTAGTCTACAACCGTGCGTTAAGTGGACCATCTTCCAGTAAACGCAAAGCATCCAGTCCACCTCTCCAAATGCGTAAAATGTGCATCAGCCGCTAGTTAGGCGCGTCGCGCGCACCGTCAGCTGATCAGCCCAGACAAGAGCAGAGCAAATAGAGAAAGAATAGAGGATAATTGTGTCTGGATGTGGATGGAGATTACGTTTTACAGCAGCCTGATCATCATTTAAATACGTAAACCATCACCTGTCTTCTAGTCCACGCTATCAGCATTATTTTAATTGGTGTGTGTGTGTGTTTTCCACTTCAAACACTGGTCTAACCAACCAGACCAGCGTGTCCAGTAACACATTAATGTTACAATTAAACAGTTTCACTTCATGTAGGCTAGGAACATTCCACCTGCCGTGGCCCGACCGCTTCTGCTCCACATAAACTTTGTGCGTGATCAAATGTCTCTACGCGTCATACGTCTCCATATTAGAGACGGGAACAAGCGCTGTTCAGCCAAAGTTTCATAATTTCATAAAAAGAACATTTTTCCAAGTGACACATCCCTCAGAGAGACCGGGTTTCCAGAACGCTTCAGTGGGAGGAAGTCTTATCGCATTTATCCGTCAATATGTGGCAAGGTGGAGAAACGAGGGCCCGGGTGGGATTCGATCCCCAGACTCCCGGGTGAGAGTCATACGCTCTAACCAGTCAGCCAAAGGTACAACCCCTTGGCCAAGTAGCCAGGGCGCATTATCTATCGGGACACTGTGACAGGACACTCACACTGCCACACCTGATTATGAAACTTTGGCTGAATAGTGCTTGTTCCTGTCTCCAATGTGGCGACGCATCCAGGAACCTGTCTGAGGAGAAGCCCAGAATCTGACATCCTTCAGCTCAGAATGCGCCGATATGATTACGCACAAGCGTGACGCGTCAACCCGGTCTCACAGTAAGACCGGGTTGGACCTGTTCAGGTTTACGCAGACAATCTTTACATTTAGAATTGGCATACAGATGTAAAATTAATGCAGTAAAATATAAAGCTTTTTATTTAAACATCCATTCATTATTTTACAAGCACAGAGAGCGCATCAGATGGATGGAAGAGC